CCGAGGTGGGTAAAATGAGGACCCGGATTGTTGTTGGGGGCAATATGCTGACTCTGTAAACCGCTTGGAGAGGGCTGAAAGCCCTATGAAGCGGTTTATAAGTCTAACTGCTATTGCTATTGCTAAACAAAGAATCTGATGATGCAAATCACCCCTCAGCGCTTGTGCCCCTTGAGTTTCTTTTCTTTTGTTGAGACAAACTTCAGATTCTTACTGTAGAACGTGCTCCCCGTCTACATCAAGCTTTGTATGTGTGCTTAGAGGAAAACCTTTCCTCCCGTGGTAGCATTAGCAGGCCTTTGTAGGCCCTGCATCCTTGTTCCTAATGTTAAAACCAGTTTTTAATCAGGTGTAAAAGTTTATGCAGATGATAGCGGGAAAAACATTGTGCCTACGTCTTTGCAGACGTAATCTGGGGAGGGGGAGGGGCTTGCCGCTCGGAGGGAGGGTCACAACGAGAATTGCACAGTTCTGGCAGAAACCGCCACTCACAACCAAAATTTGCTTGCTTGAAACGATGTTCCACATTCATCCCGAGACACACGTGTCCCCCTGTATGTGTTCTCCCCCCCCCCTGACGCCCGTTTCAATTGATGGCAAAAAGCGTCAGCGGACTGCAACGCGACCAATACAGCATTTGGGAATGGTATTTGTAGACTTAGAGGATTCTGAATTTAATTTCTAAAGGTGGCCTCGGCATGACATTTTCTCCAGAGTTTTGTGCGATGGGAACTGATGCGATGGGCATGGTATACTTTTAACGTGTCCTCAGTAACTTCAGTGTCTCCCGGTAAGTTTAATATTGTACAGCTCCATTGCAAAACGAACAAGAAGTGATTGTTGTGTCATTTTATTTTCCTGCTGTGGAAACTTGAGTCGTCTTTTTGAGCCACATGAGTGAGACTCCTCTGGGAAAGATTGGGGGTAGCTCTCTTAAGTGTTCTCTTTTTAATTTATATAGTGTCTTATTTTTTATTATTTTTATTTTTTACTCTTGTGTGTAAGAACTGGTATAAAATGTATATGCCGACGAGCTCATGTTCTTTTGTGTAAATATTTTTGTGCATCCCACTTCCTCCCCCTCCCTTGTAAATATTTAGATTCTCATTTCTCCGCACTGTACGAGGGCGGATGTGTTCATTTACTATTCTTATTTTTTAATTTGTACTGTAATGCTATGACCAGACTTCAGGTGTCTTGTGCTATTAAAAACGGAACAACCTAACAGTCCCACAAACCTCAGATGTACAACTCAGCAATTAATGAAGCCAGGTTAAAGTCTTACGTTGTGGTCTCCGTTATTTTTTTCCTGCATTTTCATTTATTTTACAGAGTTTATAGAGAGAAGTTCGGCGCATTAAAACTGTCCATGGCAGATAACACCACCATGATTTTCCATAAGTAGTGGTTTATCTCTCATCCTTAGCACATGAGTGAATCTTATGAACACCAAAATTCACATTCGCACTTATAATTTCCATGCAACATGAGAAAAGAACATCACCATCGTCCCAGCTATTTTTCTATTTCACGAAAAGTTTTCAAAGTAACATTTTCTCCATTACCTGTTACTGACCTGGAGCACATTTCAAAAGGTCAAGTGAGATATAAGGGTCAAACAATCGAACTTATTACACTTGAGACAGTATGGCATTAACACAATAGAAACCGCAACATTTTTTTTACAAAGCAAAAAGCATTCTTGGTTCTGAACACTTTTTGCATCATTTCAACATTTTTAACATTGTGATTGCTTTTCTATTTATCTTTTGGGGTTCTGTGGTGGCTGAGTGGCTGAAACGCTGAGCTTGTCGATCAGAACGGTCGGCAGTTCAAATCCCTAGGGCCGCGTAACGGAGTGAGTTTCCGTTCCTTGTCCCAGCTTCTGCCAACTTAGCAGTTCGAAAGCATGTAAAAATGCAAATAAAAAAAATAGGAACCACCCTTGGTGGGGAGGTAACCAGTGTTCTGTGCGCCTTCGGTGTTGAGTCATGTTGGCCACATGACTATGGAGACGTCTTCGGATAGTGCTGGCTCTTCGGCTTTGAAACGGAGATGAGCAGCGCCCCCTAGAGTTGGGAACGACTAGCACATATGCACAAAGGAAACATTTACCTTTTTTTAAGCCACCCAAAGTCACCCTATTAAAGAGCTGGGCAGCATCTAAATAAATAAAAGCTGTCCACAATAACAAGGACAGTATTGAAGGTTTTAT